TTTTAAGTGTGGGAGAGCCATGCTTCGGCACGAATGGGCCGGCTCGACCGGAGTGATACCACGGCCTCACAGAAAACCGACGTGAAGCAACGCTTGCGTTGTGTTTCGTCGTGTGAGTGAGGTTACCGGAGGCCCAATTACCCTCCTCTTCCCCAATCTCCCCAATCCCTGAATCCCCAACGATCCTCAAGCTCCTAATCCCCAAAAGGCCAGTAACGCACTTGTAACGCCTCTGGTGTTCCAGGTGTCCATGGGCGACGCCGATTGCTTACCATCAGGTGATCCGTCTGCTCGTTTACAGGCTTATGCCATAAAAAAAAACTTTTCCTACCCCTACGGGGATAAAAGGCATGATGATATTATGTTAAAGAAAAAACTCACCGATTATTATAAACGCCATTGACCCTATGATTGAACATTGGGTGATTAAATTGACTGTTTGTAAAAACACTATTTCTGTTATTCAACATGGGATGATGATTCGCATTGTGATAACTATTGTTGAATTGCAACATCGGATGCGTATTTTGAATCAACTGAACCAAATTCTGCGAAGTCAAATTTTGATTTTGACTTTGACTTTGACCTTGGTTCTTAGAGTTGTTATAAACACGACTTTTTTGAACTTTCTGCTCTTTCTGAGCTGGTTTCTGTATGGTTTTCGGTTGTGGTTGCGTGGTTACGTGGTTGAGTTGGTTCATTTGACTCATTTGGTTGCTGTTTGAGGTTTTAATGTTGTTTAGTGGTTGTTGTTGGTTTTTTATTAGCATTTGTTGGTTCATCATCATGTTTTGTGGGGCTAGTGGTGGCTCTGGTTTTGTTGGTATTGAGGGCTGAAAAAAAAAATTGGTAAGTCAAACCATTGCCACGGGCTTAGATTATAGGATTACCTTTGTGATATAAAGACAACTAAAAAAAAATTTTATTAAAATTCCTAAGAAAGGTTTATATGTATTACATGCATATTGCACCCGTGTGAAGCCGGGGCGGGTCGCTAGTTAGGTTATAAAGATGGTTGCTTATTGTATATAACACTCACAAGTTTTGAAACCTAACACAAATGGGGATCGAACCCGCAGCCTACAACTCGAGGACAAGGGTAAACCACGTCAGACTTCTCAGAAAATATGCTCGACGCGGGAAATGAAGCCAAGGTTCGTTGACAAATAATTTTTTTCTTACTTTTGTAGACATTTTAAAATACTTACGCGAAAATTAAGATTAACTTGTGGAATATTGGAATTAAAGTTTTGTCTTTGCAGGTTGATACCAGGAGGCGGCGCCATCATCCTTGGCTGACCCATCATATGTTGAAACTGGTTCATCCCAAACTGGTTACCATTTGGCATGATCTGATTATGACTCTGGTTCATCTGGTTATTCGAAAAATGGTTGCCCATTTGATTCATATTCTGTGACATTGATGACATATCACCCATACGATTTTGACTCATCTGGTTTTGTCCCATCTGATTCTGACCCATTTGGTTCTGAGTCTGACCCATTTGGTTTTGACTCATCTGAGATTGTCCCATTTGATTTTGACTCATTTGGTTAACATTCTGACCCATCTGACTCATTTGGTTGACATTCTGACCCATTTGACTCATTTGGTTCATGTTTTGACTCAACTGATTCATATTCTGACCCAACTGTCCCATACTTTGCGTCATACTTAAATTCTGACTCATTTGGTTGACATTTTGACCCATCATCTGATTATTGCTGATTTGGTGAACACTTAAGTTCTGTGATAACTGACTCATTAGGTTATTTCCGGGTCCGATGGGGTTATTTTGGAATTGGTTGTTCATTTGATTACTCATTTGGTTATTCATGAAGGGAGAAACGCCTTGATTGAGTTGGTTGACATGGTTTTGTATGAGTTGGTTATTTTGTCCCATTTGGTTCATAAGTTTGCTGAGTGGTTGGTTCATGCCGTGGGACATTGGTTGTTGTGGTGCGAATGGTAATGGTACGGGCGCCTGCAAACCAGGCGGCCTTTGTAGTATCACCGGTGGAAATCTTGGCTGGAATATGAAAAAAAAAAATATTAATTATTTTTTATTTTTTGAATTGAATTTTATTGATATATCAGACAGAGTTTAAATTAAATTGTGTCTTTTTTATTTACTAAAATATTTACTTATTTAAAAAGGATCTCCAACAGAGAATACACGTAATAAACACAATGATAATGCAAAAAAAAAACAGGCTATCTTGTGCCTCTCCAATTATATAGAGCATGTCATGCAAATAAAATAAATCTTAATTCTAACATCACGCCTTTTATCCCCGAAGAGATAAAAGGCAGAGGTGCACATTATGCCACTGTACAACACCCACTTTTCACTATTTATTTTATGAGTCCCATGTAATAGGGGGTGAGCCTATTGCCATATACCGGGCACAATTCCAGACTCAGTGCTACTATTGAGAGTTTTTTTAAAACCCAGTAATACTTTGCCCGACCCGGGAATTGAACCCGAGACCCCTTGTTCGGCAGTCACAATTGCGACTATTCAGCCAACGACGCAGTCAAACAAACAAACAAATAGTCGAGAAATTCTAATTTTGAATATAATAGTCTTATGTATTACATACTTAAGTATTTGCATGATAATAAGTCTGATTCATTGACGTTAGTTTAAGCCGAGTATTTTTATAGCTTAAATAGCTATTTTAAGACCAATAACAACGCTATGTGACGCAAGAATGTCGTTATAACATACAATCTTATAATAATTCTTACACAACTATAGTTTTTATGTCTTAAAAATAATTTTTGTATGGAACAAGCGACAAACGAGCAGACTAGCCAATAGGTGTAGGAGAGTCATGCTTCGGCACGAATGATACCACCGGAGTGATACCGCGGCCGAGCAGAAAATCGACGTGAAGCAACGCTTGCATTGCGTTTTATTGTTTTATTACCCCCCCCCCCCCACACACACACCTCCGCAGTCTTCCCAATCCCCAAATTCCCCACAGTCCTCAAATTCCTAATTGATTTTCACAAAGGGACGGTAACACACTTGTAATGCCTCTGGTACGTCAGGTGTCCATGGGCGACGCCGATTGCATCAGGTGATCCATCACCTCGATGACCAGCTTATCCCATAAAAAAAATAGGTGATTACCTATCAGTTATCAGTGCTACCCATAGACACCTGCAAAAACATAATGCAAGCGTTGTTTCACGCCAACTTTTTGTGCATTTGTAGTATAACTCCGATCGAGCTGGCCCAGAAGTGCCGAAGCATGGCTCTCCTACGTAAAAACACTGCCTATGTTCAGCAGTGATTGTTTTATCATGATGATAAAGGTTTATATAATATTATTTGGTTTGCAGACTAACCTGGAAGTAGTTCTGGTTGAAAGAAGGCTGCGCCTGCTTCTGTCGCAGCTGACGCTCCAACTCCTCCACTGTGCATACATTCTTAAGTCCTTGTACAGGCTGCGGAAACAGAAGAATACAATATTAATAAATTGTGTAAAACTAACTGTTATCGGCTGGTGATATATTTAATGTTAACATAGTGAAACTTTCCACTAATCGAAAAAAAAAATTAATTAATTTTATGAACGGGATGAATAATTTTTTTATTTATTATTTCAAATTCTTGGGGTAATGGGGCAACCGGTAACCTCACTCACACGACGAAACACAATATTGTTTCACACAGGTCCTTCTGCATGGTATCACTCCGGTCGAGCCAGCCGAAGCATGGCTCTCCCACATTTAACTAATTAATGCCAAATCAACCAAAGTAAAAACTATTCCTGAACTCTTAGCTTGAGGCTTGAAACTGCGTTAAGCGGACGCCCGCGCGATTCCATTTAATATTGATCAGCTCCTCGTTTGCAATCGTCGTAGTGTTGCTACGTAATATTAAATTAAGTTTGGCATACTCTTAAACTAGTTGTAACGATTACATGTCGCGGACATCCTTTTTTTTATGGCATAAGCCGGTAAACGAGCAGACGGATCACCTGATGGTAAGCAATCGGCGTCGCCCATGGACACCTGGAGCACCAGAGGCGTTACAAGTGCGTTACCGGCCTTTTGGGGATTCGGAGTTTGAGAATAGTTGGGGATTCAGGGATTGGGGAGATTGGGGAAGGGGAGGGTAATTGGGCCTCCGGTAACCTCCCTTACACGACGAAACACAACGCAAGCGTTGCTTCACGTCGGTTTTCTGCTCGGCCGTGGTATCACTCCGGTCGAGCCGGCCCATTCGTGCCGAAGCATTCGTGCTCTCCCACGTTAACCGTAGTTTCCGGACAAAGATGAAAAATGAAAGGAAATTTTGAGTTTTAAAATATGATGTTACTCACTGTGGGCGCGCTCGGGAAGATAGGGTCATGTTTCCATACACTAGAGCCGATGGTCCTTGACTGCGGCGCGTCCGTCTCGTCCAGCACTAGCTGGGATAGCGATGCCTCTGTAAAGTTAACATTATAGAATTAACAAAACCAATTTAGCTGTAATATATATATATCACCATGTCCACCCATCTACCATATTCTGATGGAGTGTGATCGGAACGTACTGTAAACATACTTCAAATTATCTGGATTTGAAGTAGGGACTTGTAACAGCATCCTTTTTTTTATTTTTATAATTATTTGAAATGTATAACGCCTTGGTTTTATGACTGTAATGTTATACTATTTAATTGAAATAAATAAATAAATAAATAAATAAAATTCTAGCTGTCCCTCTGTCAGAAGATGCTAGGGTTTGTGTCGAATTATGTGTAACAAGTATAACTAGTTAATACTATGTCAGTTTAACTGTTTAAGTACATGTAAGCCTGGGTAGTTTGTAAGATACTTAGCATATTTAGATTTTAGACAAGTCAATTGTAAGTCACGGGGTGACATTCACTGTGTGATTAAATCCCATAAATAAATATATGAAAAAAAAATTCAGTTGATCACAAGCGATCAGCGCCGCCCATGGACGCCCGCTACGCTAGAGAAGTTACAAGTGCGGGCTTTTGGGCGAGGCGATACAAAGAGTTAGTCCTGCGGTAACAACACAGGCAAGCTGTTGAGTGAGGTAACCGCAGGACTAGTTCGCAGACAAAGAGAACTACACACCGCAAGTGTTGCTTCACGTCGGTTTTCTGTGAGGCCGTGGTATCACTCCGGTCGGTCTAGTAGTACCGAAACGCAGCTATAATTTTTATTCATAATATATCTATTCTAAACATGTGTATATTATGTATATATAAAAGATAGTCGTGTTAGTTACACTTTTATAACTCAAGAACGAACGGCTAACTCGATTTTGGATGAAAATTGGTGGGAGCTTAGAACCAGCATACGGACATAGGATAGGATACCTTTTTTGACTTTTTACCGAAAATCACGAACCCGAAAAACCTGAAATGCACTTACAAAGTCGCGGGCAGAAGATAGTTTAGAATATAAGCTCATGTCACCAACTCACCGAGCTGTGTGTTGGCGAGGTCGTCGATGCCGCCATGATGTCTGCGGCTGCTCTCCAGCTGTTCCGCCAGCTGTTCATGTTCCACCTCCCAGTCAAACTCGTCAGCTGAAATACGAATACTAACGTTAGAAAAAAAATACACTTGATAGCTCATGATTATAGGCCCTCGTATGACACGAAATTAGTCGAGTTACTCAACAAGTTACGTGAGTAAAAAATACATATTTAATTTTATCCTCATGATCGGTAGCTTTAATGCAAAAATGTATGCCATTTTAACGGGGGAAAATCATCGAATGCCTCCTTCCAAGGTGAAGTGGGTGAGGCAGGGCGGGAGTGTCAAACTCTTACTGACTAAATACCACTCCATTCCGACTCCTGCTTTGAACCGGAGTCACTGTAACTTGTTGCGCTTTTCCACAACCACTTTTTTAAGCCTGGAGAGTGATATAGGCTATATTCTTTTTCTTTTACATCACATGGGCGAAGCCGTAGTTAATGCTAGTGTTCACAAAAATCAAATTACATACACATCATACCACGTTAGCACAAACATTATTAATCACCACAAGCATAAGCAGTTTTGGTGATTTAACACCTAAAATGTTAATCATTGGTTAAGTTTCAAATAAGCTATTATGTTAGACAATTTTTCCCATCACCTTGCTTATACATTTAGTATAATCTAAAAAAATATTATAACGATGAACATTTAAACTGTCAAACACCAAGCGGTCACCGGTGACCGCAACCTATTGTTCTATAATTGTGTCTACAAAACCGGTACTCGACGAGTTAATAGTGTGTTAATTAATTAGTTCACTTCTATTTTTCTATATTAACATTACGGCATTTAATGCCACTGTACAATGTAACATCCACTTTTCACTATGTTATGAGTCCCATGTAAAATTAACACCAGTACACTAAGTATAAGGTTGTGTTTTAATAACTGTGAAGGAGTCGGTGTGCGGGCCCGCGAATGTATAACTCATTGGTGTCTATGTCTATGATCGTAATAGGGGGTGAGCCTATTGCCACACCGGGCACATTTCTAGACTCCGTGCTACTACTGAGATTTTTAAAAAACCCAGTAATTCTTTGCGACGACTCGGCCAATGAGGCAGTCTGTTAGTCAGTCCTAACTCGTCGAGTACCGTCATTATAGACACAATTAAAGAACATTAGGTTGCGGTCACCGGTGTCCTCGCGGTGTTTGACAGTTTAAGTAATGATTAAACGTCTCCAAATACAGCAATAAGGTCAGTTAAGAAGCACAGTGAAGCATCCAGCACCCATGCTTATTACAATACTTACAACCTTGACCAAAGGTCTCGTCGTTAAGCGCGTCATATTCGTCTTCTGAGGGCTCCCCACCTCCTTCATCATCATTTAAGTTCTGGAACAGATAGAAAAATAGATTAAAGAAAAAAATGCATTCATTTAATGTAAGACACAATACAAGGAAAGAAATAAATAGTTAATTGCTGTGTTTTGAAAAAAAAAAACAGTAGTAGCACGGAGTCTGGGATTGTGCCCGGTATATGGCTATAGGCTCACCTTCTATTACATGGGACTCATAACATAGTGAGAAGTGAATGTAAGTGATGTAAGAGGTGCACCTCTGCCTAGCCCTTCAGGAATAAAAGGCATGATGTTATGTTATGTAAATAAATAGTTTAATATCAGATAAAGTTTAAGGCAATAGTATGAAACATAAAAAAATTGTTTTACACTGTCAATCTTTCTACTGCTTGAGGGATAGGCAGTGGTATACACAATGGCAAAGTGTCACATGCACATTATCCTTATCTTTTTTCTTACTGTTAAAGAAGTTACCGAATCCTATGTATAGTCAAACAAGTAAGACATGCAGGTAGGAAATTGTTTTCACAGTCAGTACCTAACCATTTGTTGTCTACTGACCCAAAACAATGGTTGTAAAACACTCCGTTTCTTTCAAAACCAAACAATTTTGTACCAATAGCTACCATCTCTGTGCTGAACCAATTTTTATTTCCTTGCCTCTTCGATCAACAATAAGAACTAGATATCGGGTCGGCGCAAGAAAATCGTCTCGACAAATAAGAGCTCACTTGAGAAGTGAGCTCTTATTTTGTTTAGTTCGCTCCAAACACGGCCAACGTGCTCACGTCTCACGATGCCGCAGTGCGTAATTGCAATTTGCAAAAATAATAACCGAAAAAGCAGTATAACGGCCGGAGTGTCTTACTTACGATAAGTCCATAGAGTATACGTTATATTTTAAGCTTTTAAACTAGTAAATAATATCAAATTAGACAAAATTACCAATTATAAAACAACACCACCAATGTTTGTGCGTATGTTGGCGATCCCTTGGCCAAGCATCGCCAACACGCGCACAAACATTTGTTTAAACAGAACAGTGGATGCATGGAGTCGATTTGTATTGTAAAATAAAATTGTATTGTAACCTGATTGGAATAGAGTACCTAACCTATGGAGTTTCTTGCTCGTTCTGCTCCATAGGAATCTACACCTAGGAATGAGCAAATAGTTCACTTTTAAATTTATATTATTGACGTTCAAAAGTGCCTTCCTGGTCTAACTGAAATAAATGATTTTGACTTAGACTTACACTTTTAATAATAAAGTAAATAAACATATCATACACAAAAACGTACCGCTAATAAAAATAAGTGATGTATACTAAGATCCCGAAATATTAATTTTCATAATTTATAAAATTATTTTAGTGTTCAACACTACTCCATACATACCTCCTGTAGTGAATTCGAAATTCGAAAAAGCAAAACGAAACAAAACAAAACGATAAAACATCGCAAGGCAACAACGGAAAAAATATCTTTATTTGTTCTAGGTTAAGGTTGTATTCAAACTAGATATTGAATAACTTATGTCTTTTAATTTCTACATGACAGGAGTAAGAAAATGCTTTTCTCGTCTTACATGACGAATGGTCGTAAGTATTAGATAATATTTTGGCGATTTATGACTTTATTATTAGGTGCCATGGTTGTTATTAGGTTGAACTCAAAACCATTTTAAAACATTTTTCTCTGTTTGTTATTTTTTTACTATTATTATTCACACGGACAGAACTGGAGCTTGATTTTGTACGTAACCCTTTATCTAGTTGCTATTGTTGATCGAAGCCTTGCCTACCTACTAAACTTGGCTATCCGCACGTAGGCAGCACCAAAAGAATCACTAACGTATTTCCGACACAGCAAAAAGCTTGGGATGTTTTTTTAACAACATCCCTTATTATATGTCAGCCCTTATTTTTTTTGCTTTTAGGCAGGTAGGTAGGTACGTACATACAAGGATTTTTGGTAGTCATTGTGTGTTCTTGTAATAATAACTATGAGGAGGTGAGGCATCCATAAATCCGATGTTAGGTCCAAAAATATTATTCAAATTTAGTGAAAGACTATAAGTTCCAAAATCGTATGGTAGATGTCCCATCCATACGCACGAAGCGCTTCGCATCAAGCTTCCTTGTGCGTACTGCTAGGGAGTGGAATTCTTTGCCAGAGTCTGTGTTTCCTGGAGGGTATAACCTGGGGGTCTTCAAGGCCCGAGTGAATAAGTTTCTTTATGGGTCGACGTGCTCCATCGTTGACCGCATCATCGCTTACCACCAGGCGAGATAGTGGTCAAACGTCGGCCCATCACATATATAAAAAAAATAAAAAAGGTATTTTTTCGTCTACTGATTTTAGGACTGTTTCCTGCCCCTATAACTGCACCTAAGGTGGTCGTAAAGCTGCGACTGCCAACTGCAAGGTATCCCAAAGACACAAAGGGTCAGATAAAACAAACGAAATTCGAGCGCTTTAATTAAAATTGAACTTTTTTATGGATGGAAAATAATCAAATGATTCCTTGCGCCTTAGGCGAGGCGTAAGGGAATGTCACTCTTACTAACTAAAAAACACCATCTCAAAGCCGGAGCCGCGGTATATAGCGACCTTACTCACGACACGAACTAACAACGAAAGTGCCACTCTTAAAACAGTTCTGCCTACCCCCATCTCACAACAAAGCCAATATAACGTTGCTCTGTTAACACAAGAAGAAGTAAATGAGGCCAGTGCTCGCAATCACAACAGCTATCTTGAATAATAATACAACGACCTAGATGTTACTAAAACTGCATTAATACCAACTGTTTTTATGTACATATATACATACAAACGTTACATACATACAATTAAGGCAATCAGGTCGCCCTCTATTACATAGGACTTATTTTTAAGGGACTAAAATCATCGAATGGCTTCTCCCACCTTAGTGTCAGACTCTAACTGACTAAAAACGACCCCGTTCCTACTCCTGCACTTCCGAGTCGGAGCCCCGGCATCCCGTTAAGTCCTCCGCGGCATTACATAGGACTTGTAACAATATTTTTATGGAATAGATTGAGAAACAGGCAGACAAATTACCTGATGGTAAGCAATCCTCACCATCACCAATCATAGACAAGTACACCCGCAATATCTGAGGCGCTACAAGTACCTCTACTTCCAAACTATGGATGCAGGGAAGGGATTAGACCTCTGGTAACTTCACTCACGACTAACAGAAACTACTGAGTGCTTACTATGATTCTTACTTCTTTAGCTTTCATTACATTTACGTCATTACATGAGGGTGCGGGTTCGAAACCTACCAATGTGACTTTTTCCGAGTTATATGTTCTTTCTAAGATTATCTAGACACCACTAACAAACGACGAAGGAAAACATCGTGAGGAAACCTGGGCTTATAATTTCTAATTATAAGTTTGCAACCGTCAACCCGCATTGACCAAGTGTGGTGAAATGCTCAAACCTTCTCCATGTGAGAGGAGGCTGGCTTTGCTCACCAGTGGGCATTTATAGGCTGTTGATGATGATGATGATAACTTCTACGCCGGTTGACCCAGCATTTTCACACAATTATGTTTTATTACAAGACAGGTTTGAGTCGCGCTGACCGTCAGCGCTGACAGCCGAAACGAATGAACATCTAGAAAGCGTTTTAGAATAACGCGTGCATCGGTCAGCGCTGACGGATGGAAGCTACGGCTTGGTCGCCGTCTCTCAAACTACGCGCTAAGCTATGAGCGCTGACGGTCAGCGTGAGACTAAAATCAACCTTTGTTGCACATTTTAATGGATCAACATATCATTTATAACAAACTAGCTTTTACCCGCGGCTTCGCTCGCGTCACAAAAGGATAAAAGTAGCCTATGTGACATATACACACAGCGCCATCTATACCAATACTTTTGTTTTCCCTCGGGAATATCAAATTTTTCCGGGATACTCTATTATTTAATCCGGACTTCTAACTTTACGTCTGCAAAAATTCAAAGCAATCGGTTTAGTAGTTACGACGTGAAAGCGGAACAAACAAACAAACTCACTTTCCGTTTTATAATATTAGTAAGGAAGTAAGGATTTCATTACAAGACTAACACAAACATTAATAAGAGACCTTTATATTACTTTATTGTACTGAGTATAACAGAGTTATAGAAAAGGGGAAGTCCCACCGTTATCTTTAACATTATTATCATTAAAGGGCATTTAAAACAGTGAAATTATTGTTTATTACGCAGTTGCTAGGTTAATTAAGCCTAATCTCACTTAAAACTCCATCATTCTCCATCATCATCAAAAGAGGCAAGCGGATTAAAATGTGACACTAAACCTAATTGTCCACACAAATAGATTTTTTTTTGTGGCATAAGCCGGTATTTTTTTTTTTTTTTTTTTTTTAAGGGGGGAAAATCATCGAATGACTGCCCCCGCCTGGGTGAGGCGGGAGGGAGTGTCAGACTCTTACTGACTAAAAACCACCCCGTTCCTTCTCCTGCACGTCGAGCCGGAGCCCCGGTTACCCGTTAGGTTCTCCGCGACTCCGAATCGGCATCGGCCCTATTGGGCCCCATCTGTGGTGGTCTGATGGCTCTTTGAGGCGCGCGCGGAACGCGACGCGCCGTACGCTCGGGTCTGTTTCTGGTCGGACGGGGAGCCACCCATGCTCGCCGTCCGCAGGCCCGCGCTTACGGTGGCCGGAGATCGTCCCGCGATCCCCGACGCCCGGTGTGTCCTTCGCGATGGCTGGGTTGCGAGGAGGCAGCGCTTCGCTGCCTCACGCGTCCCGCCTCCTCCTTAGCTAGCATGACTGCTTCGCAAAAGGAGGAGACGGCATCCCAATCCCCCTCGCTCCGCATCATGGCCTGCACTAGGCCCGGACGCGAGAGGTCGCCATCGCCGATCACTTCCCTGAGGACACGGCGGTGCTCAGCCCACGAAGGGCATTCTCCCACCGTGTGTTCCACCGTGTCCTCAGGGCGGTCCTCGCAGTGATGACACCCGGGCGTTTCCTCCCGCCCCATCAGA